TATTAGCCACAAGGTATAGATAGGGGCTCTGGGGCAAGTGATGCTCTGTCTTCTTGGTGCTTGTGGGGGGGGGATCAACAGTGGGAGAGCTTCTAATGTCCTGGCCCCACTGGTGGACCTCCTGATGGCACCTGGTATTTCTGGCCATTGTGTAAGACAGAGTGTTGGACTGGATGGGCCTTTGGCCTGATCCAACATTGGCGTCTCTTATGTTCTTACAAGTCTCTGGGCTTGGCAATCTCTCTGTGGCTGCACAGGAAACAACCCCTCCCTTTCTTTGGAACCAGAAACCAAACAGTGTCTCTTCTCCAAAGCAACAAACTGATCCTGCCTCTCTCCCTGTGACCGCTATTTTGTTGTGTCACCCACTCTCAAAATTCCAGAATGCCTCCAGGCTCAACAAGGTTGGGGACCCTTGTGTTGTGTTATATGGTATAGATACCCCTTCATATGGATATTTTAAAAAACCCTAATTGCACTGTCAAGCATATTAAATGAAACTATTCCAAATAACAACAATTACTGCTATGAGATCAGAATTCTGCTATTGGCAGTCTCCAGCTGGGTCATCAGTCAATTTCCTCAAGGGTAGCATTTAACCATTTTTTTCTGTTTCAAGGCACAAGACCAACCTCATTTTTAGTGGTAACTTGAAATGTATGTTGGGTGTCAGCCAAAAACCTCCCCTCCCAGTCAGATCATGGCCTAATTGAGGAGGATGCAGTATATATTATACACCATTACAGAAATTAAGACAAAGCCAGTTACTAGATGAAATGTGTCTGTAGATAAGATAATCAACTGAAATGCAAATACGCAAGTGAAAAGTCCTCACAGATTTCTGTAACAGATCCTTTTATTTCCTGTTAATTTCCCAATAATCTATCAAGCGCTATTAGCAGAAACATTATGAAGCCCACCATATATTATTAGCATGAAGGAATAAACAAAGCAATTAATGCTGTTCTGAAACTAGTTACAAATGTGAAATTACATCTTGGACCTTACTGCTACTGGAAAAGTGACGGTAACAATCCAGTAAGGTGACATGCACAAAAATGAACCAGAACACTGATTCCACTTACCAGACATCCAAAATTGCTTTTTAAACTTAGGGTACCTAAAGCTGTATGTAATTTAAACAGCAAATCTGCTGTAGAAGTACAGTCATAGTGATTTGTTTAGAAATAATATCCTCTTTTCAAATGAATAGGAAACAGGTTCTGCGTGGTGACAGCAGAAGCCCAACTTTGCATACAGCTGCTTGACAGAAGCCAGTAACTACAAACTCACCTCTCTGTGGAATAAATTTCCCATATTTTTAAAATAGCTCTTCTTGGTTACACTCACCCCACCACCACCACAGGAGGACAAATTAAGCATGTGTAATTTCAAGCCTTGGTTTCTGCCAGTAAAACTCAAGGGAAGAAGGCAGGGCTCTTCCCAGGGCTGCTTTGCCCTTTGAGGGAGAACTCAACGAGGCCAGGCCACCAGCAACCACCAGATGATTTGCTATCACGCGACTTGCATGAGTCACTCAGGCCACGCTGCTTGCCACTGTTGAACAACAGCCACCCCACAAAAGCCAGTGTGGTGTACTGGTCAAGAGTTTCAGACTAGGCTCTGGGAAACCCAAGCTTGAATTCCTGTTCTGCCACGGAAGCTTGCTGGGTGACCTTGGGTCACATATTCTCAGCCTAACCTGCCTCACAGGACTATTGTGAGGGAAAAAGAAGGAATGGAGAATTACCTTAAACCTGCTTTGGGTCCCCTTTGTGGAGAAAGATGAGGTATTAATTAATTAAATATACTAAAGATGGGGGAGCAGATTAAAATATAGATTGGTGAGTGGGTGGGAAAGAAAGGAGGCAGGAAACTGGACAGGCTATGGGGGCTTTCCAGGAAGGGAAAGGAGAAATAATGGGGGAGGAAGAAATGAGATGCCCCCTGCAAGTCCTTGTGGGTTCCCCACTTGTGACCTTGTATTCAGCAACTCAGAGATGCTATTCTAACTCTGTACTGCTACAAAAATATTCAGCTCTCCCCCCTCCCCCAAAAAGTTACAAGTCTATAAATGGCTCAAAGGTGGGAGGAAAGATAGGGAACTAAAATGGGGGGGGGGGAATACATCAGTATTAAAGAATAATAACCAGTATGGCTCATTATATCAGTTTTCACACCAATTCCCCCATAGAATATGAGTCTTAAATTAACTGGGGCACAGGTTTGTCCACAGATTTAGAAGGGCATAACTACACTTAGGTTTGCACTGTGTGTCTTAATAATCTCTAAACATATGTACAAGTCAGGGGCTCATGAGGAACCATGGAGGGAAGAACTGTTCCAGAATGCTCTTGAGGGCTTGAGTAATCCAATTTCTCCTCCCTCCCCATTACTCCCTTTAACCAGCATTCCACTGCTCTCTTAACATTCCATCCATTCTAGAGGACTTTGAGCCTTCACCATGTCTTTTTCAAAATGGGTGTCTCTTTTAGTTAATTTACAAAGTCATATTCTGCATAACTGGTGAATCCCTGAGTAGGTAGAGACTGCTTACCTTATCTGTGGACAGCCCGATTTTGTGGGTTTCATCATTCACAGGGCAGACCAGGAATTTCACTACTAAATGTAATGAACAGACTGGATCCAGATACTCCCCTGGAATTTAAGCAAGGTGTTTTCTACTCCCCTCTAACTGGAAGAAAGCCATTATATTCAACATGACACCAGCAACATTAGGATTTTGTTGTTGTTGTTGTTGTTGTTATGGGTTGGATTAGGAAATAAGCCCCCCCCCAAAAAAAAAGAAATAAGCAAAAAAAAAAAACCCACCCCAAAACAAAGGGTGTTCATTTAAAAAACAAAAAAGGTTCTTGAGTGTGTGGCCATTGTAACAGCATACCACCAGCAGATGGTGCCCTGTAGTAATATTATATTGATTTTCAACCACTCTCTTCTCTTTGGGCATCCACTAAGTAGGGATGTAGATTTATTTCAAAGCAAAAGAAAATAACACAAACCAAAAATAACCATTCATTTTGAAATGAAAATAAAAACAAATTCATACTTAAGTTTATGTTTTCATTGGCAGAACTTCTTTGTTTTACATCCAATGGAGATACAATTCTCAGGGATTGTGTACCTCACCCAAGGCGTTATCTATGCCAAATTTGAAAGGTGCAGAAAATGGTAGCAGTGTTACAGGGAATTTAAATAAAGGCTTGTGAACCTTTTTTGCAAGTATGTTGTTGCATCAGGAAAACTACTTCTTCAATAACCGAAAGGTGTGGGAAGGCAGATGTAACACACGCATCCCACCAGAGATTTTTACAAAAGCAGGAGTTAATTCAGTCAAAGCAAAAGATATCTTTTAGTTTCTGATGGGTGTGGTCAGCAGGAGAGAAAGAAAAGAAACAGACATATGGGAGGCATTTAGAGAGTCACCACAGATATTTTGTTTCTGGTATGTGTTTCAACTTCAAATACCTAAAAAATGACCTGTTCACACATTTGTCTGAAATCTGACACATGTAATCTCTTGGGTGAAGGTTAGAGGGGGAAGGGGGAGTTACAGCCGGAAATGTGTTTCCCATTGAAAGCAAAGGGAATCGTGAAACCAAATAAAATCTGAAAACAAAAATGCAGGATACATCTGCACATCCCCACCTGCAAAGGCTTCTGGGAATTTGGGACATAGGTACCTCATATCCCCAGTGAAAGGCAACAAAAAGGCTTGAGGAGATTTTGAACATCAGATGCACAGAGGAGGTAAAAGCAAGCAAAACAAGGACTGAACCAATGGACAATGCTGATCACAAGACTAGTCCTAGGTCTGGACAACATTCACCAGGACCAGGGTGTGCATTAATTCGCAAGAGATAATGTTTTAAATAAGGCATGTTGCAAACAAGTCCATACAGTGCTGCTCTCAGGGAGGGAGTAAACACATTCATCTCATCAAATGACTAGATTTGATTAAGTAAAGGCATGAACAGTAAGCCTGCATTAACCTGTGTAATAAGACTTGTGAAAATGAAAGCCATTAACATGGTGATGAAGGGCACTGCTTTGTTATTAAAGCAGTTCCTTTGTCACAAAGGCACCTGTATAGTTTACACCTCCCTGGATGAAAGTGTCATGCATCATTTCCGAATGGTTTGCTTTGTCAAAGTGAGGGCTGAGCAATAAATCCCAATAAGGCCCAGAGGCCACCTCCAGAAGTGAACTGCAAGCAACACAATTAATTTATATCACAGAAATCACTATCCTGACTGCCCACTTCAAATACGCAACGTTTCCTACTCAGTTCATAATTCAACATGGATTTTGGAGACCATTCATCAGCAAAAGAGTGCCTTCTGCTCACACTCAGTACATTTGCTTTGCTTCACTGTCCAGTGACTTGAATAAAGGTCTGTCACACATAAATCTGTTGATTTAAGGAAAGGCTGACCACTGCCAATTAGACTATGTATGCTTAAAGGTGAAAGCGAAACACTTGAGCGGACACATACCTCATTTACTCACCATTTTACAAACCAGCATCTATTTATGGAGCCTTTTTCATTCCAGGCTGCAAATATCGCAACATGCTTCACTATTTTTAATTATATATTACAGTAAAGTGAGTGGCATGTGCTAACTACAAAAGTTGCATAATTAAAGCCACTACAGACAATACAATGAGACTATACAGGTATGCAGAAAAACAGCATGTCTGCCACCTTGTACCTTACCAATACCATTCTCCAAGCTACATCCATTGTTCAAATGATGGCTTCAGAAAAGGACAACATCAAGAGGGGAGGGATAGCAATTATTAAAAGGATGTTAATACAACAACACATTTCACAATTCCAGTTATAACCAGACTTGGCAGTTATTGAGATTAGCTTTCACATGCAGCTTCCTAGTTTATTGTATAAACGTATTTCTGTATTCCAGGCCATATCACAAAACACTATCAATTTTAAACCTGTATAGATACATACCACACTCACCTCTATAGTTGACTGTATGTGTCCATCTTGTGTTGTACTTGGTACTATTGCCCAGGAAAGACTGGCACTGGCAGATGTCAAAGAACTAACGGCACCATTTTTCAGTGGTTCTGTGGAATGAGACTTTGGCCCATGCCATCCTAGTAGACTTTCTGAAAGAAAAAACAAGAAGTTATTTGCAATACCTGCTTTTTCACAGTGTCCTATTTATTCTCTTTTGAGGGATCCTTGGATAGACAAGATCTTTATTGTGTGATATTAGAGATCCAGCCATACAGCCTCGAAAATAATCCATTTATTCAAAAAAAAAGAATTGTAACCTCAAAATGCAACATAATCACAATCAGAAAACTTCTTACATTAGCATCAAACCTGCAAGCAAGTACCTGAGTTTTTCTGGCAGTTTTGGCCGCAGCAATTGAAACAAAGCATTTGCTTCAAGTACAAGCATATAGGCATAGATGGAAATGCCAAACCTATTCTGAAGAAAAAAGTACTCAAACTGGTTTCCTCTGTACTTCTGAAGAGAAGACAGGGCTTTGTGACATCACAGAACGCTAGCAAGATTTGTGCTCATGCTAGGGTTCTGTGATGGAACAGAGAAAGAAGGCCAAGAAGCTATACTTCTCCACAGCCCAACAAGGGCTTAAATTCCAGAATGCCATATTGAAGATAAAACAAGCCTTCCTCCAAGCTGCCTTCCCATAGCAAAGAAATACCTGAGCCAGTGTGTTCAAGCCATGCATCAGTTCGAAAAGAAGCATGCCCCAATAACCCCAAACTAACAAATACAGAACAAACCATATTAGTAGCCCATGTCAAGCCTAAAGTGATACACTTTATATTAAAACAAATAAGTTGTTATAGGAATCCATTTATGAACTAATAGAACACTGGAGATGCACCAAGCAGGTTTTAAATCAGAGCATTCATGGCTCTTTATAGATTTAGTTTTGCACAACCAATCATTAACAAAATGGTCAAGGTACAGCCTGAAACTGAGGGTATTGGGCATTTTGTATAATCAAAACTTCAAATGCTAGAACACTGGCTGTGGAAAATGCACTTGGGTGTCTTATGAATTGCAAGGGTCTGATGAATTGAAAAGTCATTCCCAAGACCTATGTAAAGCGTACACATTAATACAATTCGACTTGAAGCCTAGCTGGATGCTGGCTCAGAGCAAAAGCAATAAAACCAGCATTTGTCAGGACTCCACAGGGTTTAAGTGTTCATCTGCAAACCAAATCCTGTTTTTCACACACTATGTTATCACAGTGGTCTCAGTTAAAAAGATAATTAACTGCACTTCTGCTGAGGCCTTTCATAAATGCTCCTGACAGGCTATTAGATTGACATGTTACTGGCAAAGTCCTTGATGTATCTTTCCTAAGAATGTATTTGCCTACATTTGCAAGTCTGATTATCAGGCCACAAACGAGAGTAATTATCCTTCACTGAAAATGCCATACAAAGCAATTTAGCTTTAAATTCAACACAGAAAGCTAAGTGCTGACTTGGTCTGTGAGTCACCTCTAAGGAACTAGATTAAGTCTTCTGTTGACTTTCTTCTACTCTCTGTGTCCTAGTTTGTTATGGGTGGGATCTTGTTATGAGGGGAAAGGGGAAGTCTAGCACAAAATGGCTTTACTCACCTGAAGTCAATGACCTGTTACTACTATGGTGGCTCACTTGGTGCATGCCCTGCTGTAGTAAATGCAGACATTCCCCAAGGCAGCTGAGGGTGGCAGCAGAGGTAGCTTTTAGAAGCAGCAAGTCTTGATCCAAGGCAGAAAGAGGACCAGAAGCTGGGAGGGATTCAATGGCTTGCACAAGGTTCTTCTGCTGTCCCTCCACTTGGCTCATCATCTGCAAGTACATATTTTTCAAAGTACGCATACATGCACACATAAAGCAATTCATGAAAAGCCAGATCTTCATTAGATTTGCCAAAACAATACGAGGAAGGAGGCCACAGCCAATGCCTTTGGAGCCCACTTGGGGTGGTACAGGAGGGGAAGATGCTTGGGGCAGCAGAATTGCCTTGAGGTGGTCCTGCCCTCCCTGCTTCTCTCGCACATGGAGAAAGGCAGGAGATATCCCAAACCTCCATGCTGATTTCGGAAAGGCTTGGAAAATGGCAGCTGAAAAGCGATACTGCACTGGGCTTTGGAGGACCCCAGAAAGCCTCCTCTTACAAAGTTAACATATTGCTACAGACAAGAGCCCATTCTTCCCCTCAAAAGAGGGCTACTATAGACAGTGCCAAGCAGAGATTTTGGTAGGATATCGGGTCCAGTCAAAGTCTGCAGCTGCAGGGACATCACCTGCTAACAATCCATTTCCATCATTTATACAAGCCCAAAAATTCAGTCTTGGTGCAGAAGGATAAATGACAGAACTTGGACAGCACAAATGGCAGTCCTCAGGGCATTCTGTAACAAACCTTGAAGTTACAGTGCTCCAACTAATACAATATGAGGCTTTGGTCACACACACTAAATGATCCACTTTCAATCCACTTTCAATTCACTTTCCAACTGGATTTTGACAGTTCACACAGTGAAATCCAGTTGGAAAGTACACTGAAAGTGGATTGAAACTGGATTACTTAGTGTGTGTGACTGCAGCCTGAAGCTATCAAATTGAAGTTCACTAACAAATTTCACTCAGGGTTGATTTCAACAGACCAGTGGGGTTTATTTCAACAGATCCTGGAAACTCCTAGGACGTTACAGAGGATTCTGTCCTTCTTTACTTATTTTACAATATTGATCTTATTAAGCACATGTATCCCAGCAGCAGCTGCTAGCTGAGAGTGGGGTGCACCCACACTGGGTGGATCATATTCATTAGACTGCATTTTGTATTCACTTACGGGGGGGGGGGGGAGAGAGAGAGAGAGAGAGAGAGAGAGAGAGAGAGAGAGAGAGAGAGAGAGAGAGAGAGAGAGAGAGAGAGAGAGAGAGAGAGAGAGAGAGAGAGAGAGAGAGAGAGAGAGCACACGCCTACTGTGACATACCTACAATCCTCTTTTGCATTACTTGATTTTTGGCATCACTTTGTGGAAACAGAAACTTCTCCTCTCTGTATTACCTCTCTAGCCACTCAGGGCCTCCTTGGTGTAGTGGTTAAGTGCGTGGACTCTAATCTGGGAGAACCGGGTTTGAGTCCCCACTCCTCCACTTGCATCTGGCTGGATGACCTTGGGCAAGCCGTAGTTCTGATAAGAGCTGTTCTTGAAAAAGAGCAGTTTCTGTCAAGAGCTCTCTCAGCCCCACCTACTTCACAGGGTGTCTGTTGTGGGGGCAGGGAAGGGAAAGGAGTTTGTAAGTCGCTCTGAGACACCTTTGGGTAGTGAAGGGCGGGGTATAAATCCAATCTCTTCTTCTTCTTCTTCATGCTTCTAATCAAGTCTTTGGTGAAGAATGTGAAGCTGAACGGCAGCAGTAGCAGCACTGGGCTTTGCTTCCCTATCACAGCACTGAGAGCTTTGATTCTGGAGCTGGGGCTGCTACCACTGCGCTCAAGGCCTGGCTCACCTTCTCTTTTCAGAGTTACAGCCAAATAAGTGGGCAGTAATGACAGACTTGGGTCTCTAGTGCGGGATATATAAAAATGCTGCCTGAAGAATGCAATGCATTACAAAGTTAACTAGATTCCTTTCTCTGTTCTCCCTGGGATAACTGCAATTGTGAACCATTTCAGGGCAGCAACTACAATTTTTTTCTTTATCCACTTCTGTTTCCAGTCCTATATCACTAAGCAAGATCAGAGAGAACTGCACTGATGAGGCACGATCAGGGAGAGGAGGTGAAAATTACCAAAGAATAAGCACTATCTTGCTTTACCATGTACAAGCACAAATGTCCTCTTTATAAACAAGGCTATAGTTTTGATACACACGAGCTTCATGAACAGAATGTAACCCTAAATTTTAAAATAACCGTCATCCAAGAGTAAGAATCCAGTGACACCTTAAAGACTAACAAAATTTGTGGCAGGATATGAGCTTTCATGAGTCACTGCTCACTTCTTCATATACCACTGAAGAAATGAGCAGTGACTCACAAAAAACTCATACCCTGCCACATATTTTGTTAGTCTTTCAGGTGCTACTGGGCTCTTACTCTACTGCTACAGACAGGCTAACATGGCTACCCATCTTGATCTTCATCCAACAGCTCAAGTCATTGATATTGCATTACAATGTATTTTGCAACCTTCTCCTCCTCCTTGAAAATGAGTGTGGGCTAATATTCAAACACAAAAATACAGAACTGCATCCTGAATGTCAACAATTTGCATTTTAATACTTTGTATTCAAGGGAGTGCTATATGTACACACCCCTGCATCCACCCCCACCCACACACACACAGATATGCTGGTCAGTATCCTGAATGTCAACAATTTGCATTTTAATACTTTGTATTCAAGGGAGTGCTATATGTACACACCCCTGCATCCACCCCCACACACAGAGTGTGATATGCTGGTCGGTATCCTGAATGTCAACAATTTGCATTTTAATACTTTGTATTCAAGGGAGTGCTATATGTACACACCCCTGCATCCACCCCCACCCCCACCCCCCCACACACAGTGTGATATGCTGGTCAGTATGTCAGACAGGGATCCGAAGACCCGGGTTCAAATCCCCATTCTACCGCTGGTGACCTTGGAGCAATTGTCGTGTCTCAGTTCAACCTACTTCATAAGGGAGAGGATAAAATGGGAAAGTGAAAACCATGTAAACTAACTCTGACCAACTTGGAAGAAGGGCAAGATAAAAATGCAATAGACACAGGCACCAGATTCAACCAAACTATCTACTATAATATCTTCAGCAGACAAAAGCTAGCAACAAAGCATTCTCCCGCTAAGAAAATGCTGAAGTTGCTATATAGTCAATGCCAATGTAATTTCATAAATTTACTCGAGCAAAGAATATTAAAAACAAAAATGAATCTAAATAATATTAGATTATTCTTCTTTTGGAAGGTCTCAGCAAAGACCATTACATACAGACATCTATGGACTTGTTCCCTCGACATTCATCATTTTACCTTCCCAAACTCTACTTAAAAGCACCCTTTGCATTCATCATGATACAACCATAAAACGTCAGTGTGTATGACCTGAGAATCCTGAGATGCTCCATCCAACATTGGGGGAACCAAATGCAATATGCTCAGTACTAAGTACCAGACAGCTTCTATTTCAGCTATTTTGGACCTCACACACATGGTTTTGCCTCTCGGACTCTAAAACAGCTTTCCGCCATCCAAGAAACAGAAGGATATGATCTGTTTTTTAGTTTAGTTGCTACCTATTTGAATATTTCCCAGGATCAGAAATTAGTTGTCTAGAGAAATGAGACCACAGCAAAAAAAATAATAATCCATGGCCTATGTGGACTAGACATTCCGAGCCCAGTTTCTTAGTACTACATGTACCAACTCTAAATATACAGCATGTGCCATTATACAAAACAGCATTCCAAGTCTGTGTTTCAAACTCCATTTAAACTTCCCCCATGATATTTTAAGCTAATAATCAATAGCCCCACAAGCATTTTGTCTCTTATTTCATTCCCCTTCTTTTTTTAACGCTGTCTCCTTGAGGTTTTTAGACGCATTCAGGATAAGCCACAGATCTATTAGCAAAAAAGGTTTTATTGTTCAGGCCTCACCCTATTTCACTGAAGAGATTCAAGTATCCATGTTAAATGACTCATTCTAGACACAAGTAAGACCAATTTCATTTCTCTCCCACCAACAACTTTGAAGAGTTTGGATCAAAAACACAGGATCTGATACATATAACAGCTGAACATGTTTCTTTCACAGGCCAAGCCATTCATTCCTCTAATTGAGCCTATCATTGAAGCCTGCACTCCTCAATATCTCCTCTCATTAGAAGATGGCAAGATTATGAACCCTACATAAATTAATGTAGCAAGTCATCAGAAATTACTTACTCTAAGCTTACTCAGTCATGCATAGCTTCAAGAAGCAGGTATTTAATGATTTTCATCTTGAATTCACTAAATCCTTTGGATGCTAATTAAAAACAACTATGCTGAATGTGAAACTGAACATCTTACAAACTACACACATATAAGAACGACCATTTCTGGTACACAACAGGAGACTTCACCAAATGTTACAGCATCTCTGAGAGACATCAAAAGATAGAAAAAGATCACCAGGATCTAAATTGCAAAATGAGTGTGTAATTCACCCATCACCTAGTGAAAAGGCAAATCTGAAACATATGACTTGAAACCCAGGGCAAGGAATAGTATTCAAACAGTAACCCTCCACTATACAACCTTGTTAGAACAAGCCACAGCTCACTTGTTTACCTGATCCAGTTACATTTGGTATTAGCTTACTCACAGGAAACAATTTTGGCACAGGAAATCTATCAGCAATCATAATAGAACCCATTATGAGGTTTCCCACTTGGACACATAATATGAAAGTTTACATGTTTGAACACCAAAGCTGAAGTCTTTACTTCACCAAAACCTAACCACAAATCGCAGAGATGTCCATGACTAAAGTTACATGGAAACAGAAGTTCAAGTTCCACAGCACATCGAGATTTATGCCATGCGGACGGTGAATTCAGTGGAGCACAGCATCCTAACATCAGAGCTGAACTTGGTTGTAGATCAGTCCGCACAATATCAGTCACCACATTTCATTTTAAAACCCCTTTCCCTGACCACCCCACTTTCCTACCTCTACACATCCCCATGGTGCTGTTGTGACAACTCACACCCACCACTGCAGAATATAAGAAACAATCATAGTGATATCAAAAAATGAGGCAATCTCAATAAGCCAGCTTTACCAAATGAAAATATTAAACCCTTTAGCTTTCACAGAGCTCTGGCAGATTGAAGCTAAAATAGTGGAATCTTTCTCACAGATGGAATTGTTAAATGGTTCTCATTTTACCAACCTACTCAGTCTTGAACAAAACATAAACCCAAGGAGAAAGAAGCAGCTTCACCTGGAGCAAGTCAGTTAACAGAGTACTTTTAGCAGGCATTTTTACAGAAGGGCTTTTTGCCAGCAATGTCCAGTCACCCAGAATACTCTAAATACTTCCTGGACATCCCTGCTCTCACTTAGTATCTTCACTACCCTTCCATGGTAAACAGCAGACCACAGCACTCCATCTATATTCACTTCCCAAGCCCTGGCTAGTATTATTTTTTTTTTACCAGGAATGGTAAATCTAGAAATACTCCTAAATTATTTCTGGACAAAGTTGCAATCCCAGGACTTTTACATGAGAGTTTTACTAAAAGCCAGTTGAAAAGACTGAGTGTCATACACCTACAGTATGAGGCTATTAACTCCCTGTGAGAAAAGCAAAATGTTAATGAAGCAAACAATTAAACTGAATACATACTAAGGAGCAGTGTCACATCCAGCAGAAAACAACTAATGAGGACTCATTTTCCTGTGGTTGTAATGTCTGCATAGCTGAAAACCTAAACTGCACACAAACTTGCATGCTTAGAGGGTCTCTCTTTCATCACAAGTCTATTATTTATCTAAGCGTCTGTTGAACACACATACCATAAGACTAACATGTCGACCAACTAAGTTCCAGCAGGCCTCAGAAATTGCTTCTGTACTGACAGGCATAACTTTCAGTCTTCCATTTTGGTTTGCCCTCCCCCTAACACATACACACAATTTTTACATGAGACCATCTTCTCCTTTCCAGTCATATTCTGCCAGAAAGTGGATTTTAACCATTAGCACTTCAAAAACAAAGATCTAGAAGAAGGTGTAAGACTTGCCTAATCTCATCACACTTACAGAGGACAACAGAACAAAGTCTTACCCTCTCTCATGTTCCTCCCTTGGTTGTATTTTTTTCCTAAACTAAAAAGCTCCATAGTCATTAGCTCTTCCTTGAAGGGAAGGTGTTTCTACCCCTTGATCATTTTTGACTGGCCTTCTCCACATGTTTTCCAGTGCTACAATATCATTTCAGAGGTAGGATGAACAGAATTGTACCCAAAAGGTTGGTAAGACAGGATTTCTCTTTACAGAATCCAATGCAGCTGCTTCTCAGTACAGCTTGTTCCTCTTTGTTTAATTATTCTCTTTAAAAAGAATTTCCACCGATTTACCCTGAACAGACATTATGCTAGCTCACCAGCAACATCCCAGATGTCCTCTGGATCTCATTTTCAAAATCAGCATTACACTTGCTACCTTTCAATCCTCTAGAAGGAATGCCAATTTCAGTGACATATTTTTGTTAGGACATCAGTCTTTTCACATTTGAGTTTCCAAAGATGTTCTAGAGAGAATACTGTGCTTTTAACTCATGCCCCTGCCCTACAGTTGGAGCCAGAGTTTGACCAGCTTAAAACCACCTGTGTTTGCATAGCTGTGAAGCATTCAGTTTAATATATATTTTCACGACCCTTCCCCTTGGATCACTTTTGGGCAAATGGACTCCTGCCTAGAAAACTAGATCTGTGTGGGACCTGTACAGATCGGTAGCTCTAGCCCCTGCTTTACCTTCTCACTATACCCCTTTGGCCTCCTATCTCCCTCTTCTTGAGTGCAGTACACTGGACAATGTGTGTGCACACTTGGAATCAGTGTGCCCTCTAAGCTGAGTTAGTGTGAGCTAGCTCACAGTTTTTTAGCCTCCGGCTCACACATTTTTGTCTTAACTCAGGAGGGATGGCTCCAGAGCAAAACTAATTTATGCATTAGCCAAATCGCTCACTCACAACTTTAATGCCAGTAGCTCACAAAGTAGAATTTTTGCTTACAAGACTCAACAGCATAGAGGGAGCATTGCTTGGAATATGTGGTTATTCATGCGGACCTTCTAACACTTGCTTTATTATTTGCAGGGCTTTTTTTGTAGAAAAAGCCCAGCAGGAACTCATTAGCATAATAGGCCACACCTAACAGCAGAAACTCATCAGCATATTAAGCCACACCCCTGATGTCACAGCTCATTGGCATATTAGGCCACACCCCCATGTTACCACACTCACCTTTTGCTTGTTATTCTGTTTACTTTGTTTGTTGTCAAAACCCAGGGCTTTTTTTGTAGCAGGAACTCCTTTGCATGTTAGGCCACACACCCCTAATGTAGCCAATCCTAATGAGTTTCTGCTGTTGGGTGTGGCCTATTATGCTAATGAGTTCCTGCTGGGGCCAGCCGGAACTCCGTTCCTGTGCGTTCCTGCCCAAAAATAGCCCTGATTATTTGACTGCTGGTGTATATGAATTCTCCAGCTCAGCTGCCTGTACTGTTCCCCTTGTTTCTGTTTTCACTCTCCGGATTCTCAATATTCCTACCAAGTTTATAGAGGAGTTTTGCTGCATTCTCAGCATATCCTTTGTGGCCCAGACTAGGAGATATTTTTAAGATGGATATAAAACCTAAGTCAGCAATTTCTTTCTTTAGCCTAGCAGGAGGAGGGTCTTCTTCCTTGCGCCCAAACAGGAGATTGGGCCATTTCACACTGATTGTGTAGAGCATGTGTGTATCTCGACATGCACAGTAAAAAAATGCAATTAGATTGCTGACCCAAACTCACACACAGCCAGCAACTGGCGTTGGGGGGAGTTGGAATCTTTGTCTAGTGGCCACTCAAAGCCCTGCTCTACCATATGTGAGAGCTCATTATTTCATTTCTGAATAGCAGCTCCAAATACAGTTCCCTCTGCACAACAGGAGCCAAACCCATCATGAAAGGAAAGAGGACTTCCTTGTACGAAGAGGGAACAGAGTGAGGGAAGAGGTTTCTATCTTAAATAGAACACATCAGCCACTTTTCTTAACAGGGAAGACAGGACATACTTTCAGCAGGCCAGTCGTAATTAGTTTGCTCAGAACCCCAAAATATACTCTCCCTTGAACTTTATACACAATGCTGCACCACCCACCATAAGGTGACCTCGGTGGTTATTTTAAACCACAAGGACTTATCTGAAGCCAAATTATCTGTATTTTTAGAGCTGAAAGAACTCCAGAGTTTTTTATGATTTAACATGTCAACAAGAAAACAGCAGACGTCTCTTACCTCTCTGACTTCATGGAGATGGCCAGAGCGCTGTGCCTTGGCTTTTCGGGCTGCCACAGGAGATTTGTGGTGTGTAATTGTGACAACTGGCTGTCCGCTCTGATTCAGGTTTTTTTGGGAACCAAGAAATGTGGAGTTGGCTGCTCCATGAGGAAACAAAGACAAGCCTTTCATTCGTGAAGATGAAGAGCTCTAGAATAATCAGAGGTTAACACCCATTAAGGTAACTGTATGAGAAACGAAGATTTCAAATCAAGGATGAAACTTTTGTAATATCGACTGTGAAAGCGTTGCAGTCGGCATCAGCAAAGGTTCAATGCAAGTTTCTCTATGCTTTCCCCACCCTGGAAACCTGAACATCAGCCATAAAAACATTCAAGATCCACAGACATCAAACAAATGAAATTTAATTGCGCAGGAAAATTAGGCAAGGGAGCTCCACAAAGTTTAAGGAGATCCTCTTTCTCACCAGTTATGTGCAGCACCAAGTTTAAGCAAGCAGAAACAAAGAGGTACGGCCACCACCAGCATATGATGAGGTGCAGCAGCTGCCAGGCCCAGGACTCCTGGCAGGGCCAACTGCCACTGATCTCCTGCCCACATGCCAGCCCTGCCACCTGCCTGCTTGTCCTTTCTCCTATCTGCTTATCACTCCATCACTCATTCTCCCTGACACATGGGCTGCCCATCATCATTGGGGAAGGGCATACAGGTGATACAGAATGGTTGCATTTTGGGCAGCAACAGCAGTGGCACTCCTCAGCCACATGCTGCCCAGGGCCACTAGAGAAAGGTCATGTGGGAGGGCCTGTGGGCAGAGGAAGGACACAGTCAGGCAGGTGGTCAGGAAGGGGTGTTCCAGTGTGGGGCTGGTGGTCAGCAGAGGAAGGAATAAGGCCCCTAGGCACTCTCTGCCCAGGGCCCTACAAAACCTGGAACTGGCCCTGCACAAAGGGAGCCAACTTCAATCCACATATGATACAATGACAGCTTCCTTTCTCTTCCATATAGAAGATGTTCCCTTTATGTCAGAAACCTTCCATCAGCATTTAGCACCAATTTAAGTTCCTGAACAGTCTTCAAAAGGCAGACAATGTGAACAAAGAAACTCTTAAAGCTCTATCCAGGAGAGGGCCTTCTCAGCCATGGCACCAAAGCTCTGGAACTAATTCCCTAGGAAGATTTGTTTGTCCCCTTCTGTTGCCATCTTCAACTCTAAATTCACCACTGGGTGAAGACTTTTTGTTTAGTTAGGCATTCTTTCAGTGAGCCCTCCCTCCAAACCAAGGTTTTATGCTTTTTATGTTCTTGACTGTTTTATGTGTGTTTTAACTCTGTTTTTAACTCTTTTAAAAGTTGTTTTAATGAGGTATGTTTGAGAGAGGAAGTTTATTTTAATGGTTGTATAATGTATTTTATTGTGTATCTTTTAAATTGTTAGCCACCTTGGCAGCCCTTGAAAGGGCAGAAAGGCAGGATATAAATGTTGTGAATAAATAAAAAATAAATAAACAGCAATCCCACTTGGGTTAACAAGCTCAGATCAAACACTTGGGAATGACAGAGCCTTCAGGGGCACACACTAAGACTGCTTATTATTTGTGAGCACTTAAAAATATGTGGCACTGCACAGACTCACAAGATGGCCAATCTACTGGGCAGAACCAGAAAACGGCTAATAAGATTTCTTTGCAGTCACTTTGCTCTTTTATGTTTCTAAAATCCTTATCCCATTAAGAATAATGAAATGGTATTGTGCCGTTGTTGCATAATCATTTAGAAGATGAATGTTAAACTATTCCAGATAATCCTTCTGTATTCAGCAAATCATAACCGAATTAACATTTTCTCTTAAAGTTCAAGCCAGCCTGACATTCTGCTTATTTTATGTACTGCCTTCACCTTACACGGCTTTTCGCAAAGGTCAGGTTTATTTTCCCTGTTCTCCATAAGAAGTGAGAACTAGGAATACATTTTCTTCCTTGTTCTTTTGAAAAGGTGACCTGTACCAATTTTTAAAGCAAGACGTTTATACAAGGCTGATAATTTAAAAAAAAAACAAAAACCCAGTTCTGACATGCCTTCACCAATGTCGTTTCAAAAAACTGTGAGGCTGATTATTCCATTTTTCTTTTATGGCATACTTCACCCGGCAGCATTAATCACACTAAATTCATCCTTATACAAAGTAGTAAAAGCTTTGATCTCTTGAAGAACATGGCAAAAAGAAAAAACTAGGCCACAACTTAGGGCTGCCAACTCTGGGTGGGGGAATTCCTGAAAAATTGGGAGTGGGATTTGGGAAGGGCTGGGTCTGGGGAGGGGAGGGACCTCAGCAGGGTATAATGCTATACATCCCACCCTCCAAAGCAGCCATTCTTTCCAGGGGAACTGATCTCCGTAGTCTGGAGATTAGCTGTAACCTTTGGAGGTCTTCTAGGCCTCACCTGGAGAATGACAACTCTACCACAACTACTTGATGGAGACAAAAAAAGCCAAGTGAACTCATTCTCACAGGAACCAGAAGTTCTAAAACTTTTGATCAGTTCTGCTTCCCCCACATTCACTTCTCTCCTGTTTGTCAAATATCCAGTCTTTGTGAAAACATTTTAAAATAAATGAAGAATTTATCGGCTCAGTGCTTCCACCTAGGAAGACACATGCCTATTGCCACAAGGCAACTGCCTGCCTTGAGGAAAGGAAAGATGAGGAGGCCAAACAGCCCAATGAGAAACCCTTACTATCAAGTTACCCATAGCTACAATTCAGCTGCCCCCAGCTGCTTTCGCTCCCAACCCTCACAGAACTGTTAGCAAGTCAGGCTGGCCTGAAGGCATGGTTTCCTGTCCTGAAAAACACAAAAGGCTCTACATCTGACAATAGCACTACAGATAAGATTAGAATTTCAACAGGCAATCCACATACAAAAGAACCTCCTCAGGAAACAGGAAACCTCCTCAGAAAACAATCCATATACAAAAGAACCTCCTCAGGAAAGCTCCTCCATTAGCATGTTCATAGCCTGCGGAACTCCTACAAGATAATGACTCAGCCCTACCCCACCTTCCTGAGTAGATATAAATTACCTGCCTACCATTTTTCTTCTCACGTTGACACAGAGTACTCCATCTTTCTGTGTTATACCTCTGAGGATGCCAGTCACAGCTACTGGCAAAACATCAGGTCTTAAAATGCCAAGACCACGGCCATACAACCCGGAAAATCTACAACAGGTACAACAGTCTACCAACAGCCATTTTACCCTCAGGCTCACAGTGGTTCAAGTTGACATAGCACCACCATCACCACCCTGCTGGCACAGAAGTCCTAAAGAATTTACTTAGCCTAAGGACAGTTGCCAAAGGATGATGCTTTAGAGCACCAGCTGTTCAAAGGGAGCCCGCCTTGGTTCAAGACAAAACCTCAGACTTTGTAACCACTGTCTCTTTGATGCAGGTAGAATGTGAGGAAGGAGATATTGATTATGGGAATTATGCCAATGAAGGTTTGTTGTGTTGTGATGTGATTATGGGAAGGAAAAGGTTTCAAGGAACACTGGAATGGGAATGGGTAATATGTGCCTTGCTCTCTAGTAATACTGGAGGCCCATTTGGAACGTGTGGAGGGATCTCCTACCTGAAAGAGAAGAAAGCAGGATTGGCTGAAATTTAAGATTTGAAAATTGTACACTTTGCTTAAGTTAGATTCAGCTGAGTAGCCATGTATGTATGGACTGGTAATTTCCATTTCATTGTATCTGAAGAAGTCTGCTTGCACATGAAAGCTTATACCTTGAATAAAACTTTGTTGGTCTTAAAGGTGCCACTGGACTCATGTTTTGCTTAAGTTAGTTACCAGAACCGTATAGGCAGACATATTCTTCAAATGTACTGAAGATCTTAGTTACACTGCTTTATGACTCTTGTTTGAACTGCTGAGAGAGGGTACACAACGCAAGAAATGTGTTCTCATTTAACCAGGGTACTCTTCACCCTTACAGACAATGCAACATGTCTGAACATCCAACGACCTCTATTGGTATTCAATCTATTTATTTGAAATCCTACCACAGTTCAAGAACTGAATGTGGGGGGCAAGAGAAATCTGTAAACATTTGTCATGCAGTGCCCAAGAGCTTCTTGTTTCACCTCTGCCCAGAAACTGGCACTGTCTCTCCATTTCCCAGAAATATATATTTGTTTATTTTAAGCAGAGCACTTCATATCTTGAAGATCAGTAATTTAGTTATTGAACAGATCGTGTTACAGGTTTTGTAGCTAATCCTCTTGTCCTGCAGAAAATGCCCAGACTGTATGGTCAATAATGAGGAATCTGTATTAACGATGGTGGAGATTTTGTGCATTATACTTTGAATTTTATTTTCTTTTAGTCTCTCATGAGCTAGAATGTAAGCTTTCTTGTAATTATATGTACTGTAACTTACCCCAATTCCATGGGACAGATCAATTTTTTTAAATTATCTTTTTCAGAAGATTTTTATTCTGCCTCTCCAGGAACCTGCCTGATTAAGAATGGGTGGGGATATTTTTAATTCAATGAAATTGATTTCAAATGCAAGGACTGAGCTACACAGGTGCTGTACATATGTTTTATGACCAAAAGAATGCTATGCATTTTGAGACTGGGGAGATTTCTTCAAATGTTCTTAAGCGCTGTCAGGATCCGCTGGGGCTGAGTCCACAAGCTGTCTCACCCTCCAGGGTTGTTTTTTGTTGGACAAATATGACGGACCTCTTTTACTCTCTCCAATCTGGCATGACGTTCCCAACCAAAATTCTTTGGTTCCCTGCTGTGACTGAGCAGCCCTTGGTAGCATGTAGATAATAGACTTTTTGAAAGAATTTCTGTCCCAGAATATAATTTAGCTTTCAGCTCAGCCCAAGGAACTTGTGGAAAAGCAGAAGCCCTCTTTTTATTTCCCTTTTGAAATGGTACTGGAGAGGTTTAACAGTAAAACAAAAGAACAAGTTTATTCAAGAGGCAGGGATTGAACAGGTGAGTAAGGAATTGGGATTCCTGAGGTAAAAGTTGTTGATAATACAGAATTCACTTCTCTTAGCAGGTAAAATTATGTTATTATAGCTTATTTTCAGGTAGTCTTAGTTCTTAATTGTATGAGGTGTTTTACTTAGTATTTTAATTACAGCAACAATGTTTCATCAGAGCTTCCTATGGCAGTTCACTGACTTCGGAGCTGGTCACTGACTTTGTGAACCTAACTCACTCCATGGTTCAATTACAGTTTATTTCTATTTCCTGAGTGTTTAAAACAGTTTCCCCTTAAAATAGACTAGGGTCCTCCTCAGAGCTAAACCCTCAGAGGGCAGGGATCAATCATCTTCTCCTCAGAGGAAATAACCCTGTGCCTTTTCAGCTTGAAAGAGAGTTTCCACACACTACCCCAATCACTCTTGTCAACTCTCTCTCCCAGTTCTGGAGTCTGGATAAAGCGAACTTCAGCTTATGTTGACACTTAGACTTTGAATTCCTATAATGAATTCTTCCTCAGGTTATGAATACTACAGTTAAGGCAAGGAGTCTTTTACTTTCACTCTAGAGGTGAACCTGTCTGATTTATCTTGTCAGACTCACTGACTCCAACACTCTGTCAGAAACCAACTGACTACCTTCAGGATGGTTCCATCTTAAACTGTAATCCCCAAACTGACAACTCCCCTCAGCACTCAGCTGATCATATATTTTTCTCCAGTGTCACTGGCCAATCAGAGAAGAGGGACAGCCTGTCACTCAAGCTCTCCCTTCCAGGGAAAAGTCTATTATTATCATCATCATCATCATCATCATCATCATAATTTGTTAACTCTTTATCTCTCGGTTCTCTGATTTAGCTGTACTGTGAAACCTGCTTTTAAAGTGCAGTCCGTCACAGCAAGGGTCTGAGGATAGAGCTTCAGAACAGAGAAAGAGGAGGGGGTTTCTTTTCATCCCATTTCCCCACACTGCTCTGCCAAGTACCTACTTCCACCTGCCAGGGAACTGGTCTGGCTCTTCTTCCCTGGCTGCTCCTGAGCACCTCTTTTAAATGTTTCCACATTCCTCTCTTCTCATCCCAGTCACAGGGAGTGACAGGCCCCTGGGCCAATGGATACTTGCCTTGGATTAGTGAGCTCACTGGCCCTTCCCCCTGAACTTCTTTAAAGAGCGGGCCACCCTGCCCAACCTCCTCTAAAAAGGTCAGTGCTGCCTGCTGTCCCCGTCCCCCATCAGAGCTCCCCTGGGTCTCAGTGCCAGGGTCACCTCTGGTAGAAATTTGGATGGGCTAGCTTCTGCTGCTAAGAGTTAGCTAGGCTCCTTCAAGCTGGCTGACTCCCGAGTAGACTCCATCAAGGCTATGCCCTTCTACAACCTGACAGACAACTTCCTCAGCTTCAGGGCTTGCTGGTGTAGTGCTCCTTTGGTGGGGCTTGCAATCCCTTGGGGTAAGTGGGAGGTGGAAGTGCCAACTCCAGACATCTACACTTCCCAACTATGAATGCTGCTGTCGGCCCACTTATCACACTTATACCCCATCTTCCTCTACTGTACAAGTTCTACTCTGCTGGATATGACCCTACTGCATTTGCACACTAGTCCATCGTTCTGTCAACTGTTCCCAGAACACAATCCACATGACACCTTATTTTCGGAACAGCCCTACAACCCAGCATAGTGTATAAACTGTAGACCTCTTCCTCAGACTGCAGGTTTCAAAAAAATGTTTTTTAAAAAGGTTTGGGGATCTAGTGGGAGGCCCCAAGTGAGGGGGTAGATTTTCAGACCGGGGTGGGTGGGGGTGGCATGCTACCAGAGGCACCTTTCTGCCCCCAGCTTCATAAGAGGGCTGCACGCCAGACAGAGGGAAAGCCTTGGGGAGAAATCGCCCTTTCCTTTACAGGGCAGCAGCATAATTCCTTTACAGCAGCACCATTCCTTTATAGCCACACACACAGCTACTCCCGCTTGTTTCCTGGGGTACACTGAAGCCTGTCTCTGCCCACTTGGCAGCAGCATTAGTCCAAGGGGCAATGACACCAGCACACCACATCCATCACCTCCTCCCATGTGCTGTTCTTTGCTGATCTGGTGCTCCAAGCTGTCACCAGCCCTGTACGAAGCTCTCAAACATATTTCTAATAAGGACACGGCAGAGTCAACTTCACTTGCAGTCACTCCAAAACCCTATTTGTCTCCCGCTAAATCAGCTCAGCTCTCTCTAAACAGCTACCAATTCATGAAAATCCTACAAATCTTGCTGTGATCTAAAAAAAAAATGCCAAATAGGATATCTAAAGATCATTCTGCTGCTTACAGAAGTATGACAATAATAGAAAAGCTCTATAATTGCAGGGGAAGGAGGCACAGTATGACTTTTACTTATCCCAAATGAAACAAAGGAATGCTATTTCCTGTACTATACTTACCTTTGAGTTGCCTTCCGTGTGATACTTGGCACAGGATCTGAGCTGAGTCACCCAGTACTGTCTCTCTCTTGCATCACCAGCTAGAAAAGAAATATTCTGTAATTTAGGTAATTTAAATTTGACTAATTACAGCTTTTTGAAGGCATAAAACACTCTCTATGTTTAATTCAGTTTAGAAACTTCCAAATAAAACTGAAAGCTCCATTCCAAGTACAGGTACTTTAAACTTTTATATACCCAGTTAGTACACAGAATTAGTATCTCTCACACAATAACGAGAACTATGACGTATAGCTTTGTCCACATGAATCTGTTACATGAAGAAAAACAGCATGATGATAAGTAGTGGTAGGTGGAACGTTTGTCTTAAGATGCCCACCATACTTCTCAAAGGTGGATAAATTAAAATGGGCAGAAACCCTGAACTTTCATAATGCAGATCAACAGAACATCTATCCTCATTATTTATTGTCCTGCACACTTTATTCCTGTTGTACATATCGGTCTATAGGTGACAGGCTAGTTAGATCAACATTTCAAGCTGAAGTAGCTAGAACTGCATTTTAGTAATTGTCTAAAGCATCTGAGATGACTCTGCAGTGGCGGTCTAGAAAATCAGAAATAATTGTGTGAAGATGGATGTGGTTTGCTGCTTGGAAGACACTCGGATTTCAAGTTCGCAGTACTGAAATAGGCTTGCTGATTCATTTTGTTAACTGACATTTATACTTAAATTGGATGAATGCTGGCATATCTTCAAATACCTTATGTTCAGTTTTTTACTCTCCTGTAAACTAAACAAATTAAATTAATTCAATGCATGCTGGGAGGGCCTTTTTCCCCTATGTGAGAGCAAACAAACAATCCCTACTCACAAAATCAAGCCGCAGGGTTCCAGAAAGCCTTTGTCAGTCAGTTCTGATGACTGCATAAACTGAGGCTTACTTAAATTAATAGACCTTCTCAGCAGGTACTCTTTTCAGTCTTGAGCACCTTAATTTTAAGCTAAAGGTATTAATTTTAAAATAAAAAGGAATGAATCTAACAATGGCATACCACTTCAGAATCAGAACATTACACCAGTATAACATTTCTATTAAATAGTATAATGATCATCTGTAATGCAACAATAACCAAACATTTAACTATCAAGGATGCACTTTATTTCTTCAAAACGTTTACCAGTTTTCTATAAAAGCATTTCCCAGTGGTCAGTGGGTTTTTCATTCTGCCTAGTACCTCCCCGGAACCAGATTGTGAAGCCAATTACACACATTTAATCCCACCAACCTCAATGCTAGGTTATTTCTTCCTGCACTAGCAACAAAAGACTCCTCTGGATCTGGAGTAGGGTCGTCAAGTGACACTGGCACCCCAGCGGGGGCCACCAATTCATTACAGCACTGACATGTGATGTCACTTCCAACATGAAACCAGAAGTGACATCATCCTGTCGGGGCAGCGCTCTACGATTCACCCAAAATTTAATGGTTAAATCAGCCTCCCTCTTTCTCCCCCATCTCTCTGTTGAGCAGCAGCTGGGAAGTATGGTTCAAGGCTAGGAGGTCTTCCACTACAGCAGACTCTGGAGGAAGAGGTATCAAGAGGGAGAACCTCAAAAAACAGGCAGTTTGCAGAGTCTGGGACTGGGTTATGTAGAATATGCGGCTCCTGCACAGAGGGGAAAGAGAGCCTAAAGAGAGCCTAAAGACCCAGAGTTTAAGTAGCAGCCAGCCTCCCCTTCTTCCCTGGCAACATAATCCTACACAAGTTTACACAGACACAAGTTCTGTGCGTAAGACTGCAGCCTAAGCAGGGGTCATTTTGTAGAAAAAGAGCTAGGGGAACTCATTAGCATAACTCATTAGCATCACCGGAAGTGTGTCATAAGGCCACACACCCCGCCCCCAATGGTCCTGGCCGCCGGCGGCGACCTTGCAGCTCCACTGCTGAGCCCCATGAGGGGCCTGGCGGTGGACCTGCAAGGCCGGCGGGAGTGCAAGGAAGCCCCGCGAAGGCCCTCCCTGGCCCCAGGCAGGCAGGGGTGGGGAGAGGCAGGGAGGAAGCAACTTACCCTCCCTCTTCTCCTGCCTCCTCCTGGCTGAATGAGGGCTGGAAGCGGGGTGGCCGGAAGCAGGGGGCGGGGCTTCGTCATGTGCCCCGCCCCCGTACCTCACCCCGGGGAACTGCGATCCCCCGCAATCCCCCCCGAAATGACCTCTGAGCCGAAGATACAATCCTGTGTACATATTGGGAGTAAGCCCCACCAAATTAATAGGGCCAGCCTCAAGTCACACTGCAAATTTCCCCTAAGTACAAATGTTTTGCGGCAGCAGATATTCTTCCACTGGCCTTATTTATTTTTAATTATTTTAAAACTTTTAGTAAGCACAGTGCTGTAACTGGTGGGTTTGCCTAGCTAGTTCCAGGTAGTAGCACACAGATGTATTGAGAGATTGTTTCTTTGGGCCCCAAATGGCTTTCAGCCACCACAGTATTCCTTGCCCAGGAAAAGACTGCATTTTGCTCTTGCTTTCAAGCTACCTGCCAAAAGAATTCTTTTTAAAACTGAAATCAAAATTGCTATTGATTCCTTACTAAATGCTTTTCTAAATCCTGTGGTTGCATCAATCCTGAAGGAACCTGATAGAAGTTGTCTACCACAAAGCTTTGTTTTACTATTAACATTCAATCACTGACACAATCAGAAAGCTAGACCCAGGTGGGCAGCCGTGTTGGTCTGAAGCAATACAACAAAGTTGGGAGTCCAATGGCACCTTCAAGAGCAACTAAGTTTTATTCAAGGTGTGAGCTTTTGTGTGACTTTGTCTGATGAAGTGTGCATGCACATGAAAGTTCACACCTTGAATAGAACTTTGTTGGTCTTAAAGGTGCCATTGGACTCAAACAATCGGAAAGCGTTCCTTGAAGATATAAAGCAAACAAATTGAACAGCTTAATTTCCCCCCTCCCTTACTTATACTGGCCAAGGAAAAAGAAGAAGAGAAAGGAGACTTTTACATCGCAGATAAGCCATTACTAGTGACTTCTACCCCATCAATCTATCCCCAAGCTGTAGAGTTGGAGAGAGGTCCAGCCCAACCCTGAATCATGGAGATACCAGTGGCAAGTCCCTTTTCAGCTCATGGGATATAATGCTATTTATTTTTAAATAAAGCAATTTCTGATGTAAACCAAATTGTCTGGTTCTGGCCCAAAATATTTCTACCTCCAAAACTCTGCACCACAATTTTACCCATTCTGTACAGTCTAACATTATCCAAAGTCTCCCACAGTTAAGCGAAACATAGCTGAACTCTGGAAGCTGCATGAATGGCAAGGTTCAAAGGCAAACTTTAAAACATTGGCAACAGGCTACTGTACCTCTCAGTTTATACATTTCTCCATTAGCAGAGTATACTACCAACATGTTTGGAGCTTCGTCACTGAGAGAAACGACAGCCCCGGCTAAGGACAGCAGCCCTCGCGGCTTCTGGTTTTTACTTTGTTCATTCACAAAATACTGTAGAATTCCAGTCTCAAAATCTAGCATGAAGTACCTGTTAATGAAGGAGAAACAAGAAACAGCAGTACAATTTAATTTTACCAATATTTACTTTACAGAGTCTGAAAAAAATCAAATTAATATGAAAATAACACAACATTAATCTAAATATGCATAAAGAGATGGAGCTTAGCATACATCTATACTATGGTAGCCAAGTTCCATGTTTAATTTTCACTGTCTTTGAAACAGAATGTAGGGTTCCCAACCTCCATCTGGGGCCTGGAGTTTTCCCAGAGTTTCTCCAGAGTACACTTCTTCCAGGGGAACTGATCTCTGAAACAGATCCAGATGGGTAGCCGTGTTGGTTTGAAGCAGCAAAACAAAGTTTGAGTCCAGTGGCACCTTTAAGACCAAAAAAGTTTTATTCAAGGTATAAGCTTTTAGTGCCATTGGACGCAAACTCTGTTCTGATCTCTGAAAAGGCAGCTTTGGATGGCAGAATTCGTAGCATTCTGTTTCTGATGAGCTTCTTCCGCAAACTCCACCCTCCTCCCCGGGCACCACCCCGAAACCTCCAGGAATTTTCCAAGCCACAGCTGGCAATCCTGTCCTAATGATATTAAAAGATAGGTGGATTCAAACCAAAAAAGCATTTATATTATACTGAAGCCACGCTACAGAAGTGAAGGTTTCACTTTAAAATCGGCACCCTGCATTTGGTGTGGACACCACTGTATTTGGTGGATGAGGGGTCATATATGCTCCCTCCCACTATGTTTCCAAATCATCTAGAGGGCAGGATCATCCAAAACATGTACAGACAGCCATATGGATGCAAAGAGCAATTGTCTATCAACTATTACAAAAACCTGACCTTCAAAAAACAAACAAACCCCCACACAGCTACACTGTACAGAATGCACAAGCCGCCTTGTCAGTTTCAATGAGGCTACATACAAATACATCCAGACAGATGCCAGAAACTAAACGTAAGAAATTCGTAATTAATTAGCAAAAGTAACTGGCAAATAAAATTGGTTCAGCCTTTTTCCTATCAATTAAAACGTACAGCAGAAGCCTAATGAAAATTGCCAATACAATAAATGGGCTTATTCATTAGAAATGAAATTCCTTTTAAAGAGTGCTTTAGCTAAAACACGTTCCTTGGTGTTTGAAAAACTAGATGACTAATACATTTATCAGCATCTGCTGGAATTTATCAGCATCTGCTGGAATTGCTACTTTCACAACACTCATAATTATATTTACTTCGAAATAGATCCAGCTGATTCCAAGGGGCCGCTGCAGAGCGTGCGCAGAAGCGCGAAGTGGTCCGGGCCTAAAAGAGTTACGTCTGCCGGAAAGGACGGAAGTGCAAAGACCAGCGGCAAAAGAAGGGTCGCCGCCGGGACTGTCCCCTCGCAAAGAAAGATCTGCTACAGAAGAAAGGGTGCCTGGTAAGGCTTCTCACCTCCCTACCTACATGTGGCCCAAGATTAGGACTGTGTTAATTAATTAGAATTGTAAGCCGCTCAGAACCCCGGGGGGGGGGGTGAGCGGGATAGGAAATCGAATGAAATAAATAAAAAAATAAATAAGGGGTCTTTCAAATTGCAGCCTTATAGTGAGACACTGCACTGATCACTATTTTTTTATTATAGCAAGGCCCTGACTGGGATGGCCCAGGCTAGCCCACTCTTGTCAGATCTCAGAAGCTAAGCAGGAGAGATCTCCAAGGAACACCAGGGTTGCGATGCCGAGAAAAGCAATGGCAAACCACCTCTGAACATCTCGTGCCTTGACAACCCTACGGGATCGCCGTGAATCAGTTGTGACTTGATGGCAAAAAACCTGTATCAAGACTGAAGAAAATGGATAGATAGCAAGAAGGAAAAGATAGCAAAGAACTCTGTAGCGGATTATTTTGCTATAAGCATCATAAAGCATGCTAGGAAATTAAAACGCCACGGAGGCATTTGAGCTCTCTACAAAGTCATAATGAAAATATGCTGTTATCTCTAAAATAATCCATGAAATCCGATACTGATATAGCATATTAGCCTCTCATATCCAAAAGTGCATCATTATACTCAAGATGCTGGCGACCATAATTTTGATTCGGACCCAGCAGCAGTAACCAAGCTTGGACTCAGTCAGTTCTTATGTTGTTAGCAAACTCAGATGTCACAGATTTGCATCCCAAACAGGACTCCACTCGACAGTGCCTCAAAGCTTCCCCCCATTCCAGTCACTGTCCCTGTGGTGGGGGATGCCTAGGAGCTCAGTTTCATTCTAGTTTCCAGCAGTCAATGAGGCTTTAATAAGTTCCTGGTCTCATGTAACCTCACCATTAATTTCAAATATAATGTGAGCGTCCAATTGTCACATTTATATTTTTAAGCCTATCATATAGCTTAGCTACACAACAAGCAATTCTATAACGTCAACATTATACGAGAGAGAGAGAGAGAGGGAGAGAGAGAGAGAGAGAGAGAGAAGGTCCTCATTTACTGCATGTGTGCTAAAGCTGCAGTAGACTCTTGTCCTATCAACCAACACGAGCTTATACTTTGCAAATGGAATACAGCTCTCTGAACCTTTGGGGGTGGGGGACCTAGGGTTGCTGGCTCTGTGTTGGGAAATACCTGGAAATACCTGTCACCTGGAGATCAGTTATAATCTCAGGAGGTCTCCAGGCACCACCTTGAGGTTGGCAACCCTAAGGGGAGCACAAGTAACAGTTTGATAAACCATGTTATTTGCACTCAGGCAAGTAGCTCAGAGGTTAAGATGCTGAGCTGCAGACCAGAAGTTTGGTAGCTCAGCAGTTTGAGACCTGCGTGCCACGTTGACAGAGTGAGCTCCTGGCTCTGGCCCAGCTCCTGCCAATCTAGCAGTTCGAAAGCAAGAAATTGCAAGTAGATAAATAGGTACCACTTCGGTGGGAAGGTGTCTAGTCATGCTGGGCACATGACCACAAAAAAGTCTTTGGACAATGCTGGCTATTTGGCTTGGAAACGGAGATGAGCACCGCCCCCTAGAGTCGGATTCGACTGGCTTTCGAGCAAGGGAAACCTTTACCTTTAAGTGATTTACACACTTTTCCTAATTTTGCCAGCTAGTGGAAATAAATTTCAGTCTGAACTAGAGTCCCACAAATCCATCTACAATTTAAAATATATGCTTAACACCTTTTGTGCCACTTCAAGCAAAGTTCTCCTTTTCCTTAGAAGGATTTCCCCCCCCCCTTTTTTCAAATTGGTAGGAGGTCATGAGATAACAGGGAAAGAAGATCAAAATACTGCCACAGCACACTAGCTCACCCCAGGTAGGAACGTGATACCTGTCACCCCCACTGATTCTTTAAATAAAGGCAAAGTACTGACAGTTCCCATCTCTAGTTCCAGCTCCTGCCAACCTAGCAGTTCGAAAGCAAGAAATTGCAAGTAGATAAATAGGTACCACTTCAGTGGGAAGGTAACAGCGTTCCGTGCACCTTGGTGTTTAGTCATGCCGGCCACATGACCACGGAAACGTCTTTGGACTCTTCGGCTTTGAAGCGGAGATGAGCACCGCAACCCTAGAGTCAGATTCGACTGGCTTTCGAACAAGGGAACCTTTACCTTTACCTTTTTAGTGACAGCCATTACAGGTTTCCAGCAGGTTCCCATGCCAGGGGCTCAGCAGACATTAAAAGGGAAGGAGGAAACGTGTATGGTGTGGTTGCCATTGTCTGGGAAGCAATGGGGATTCTTGCACAGTACCCAGGCACTCATGTGTTATTTCTCCCTGGTAGATTGGCATGAACCTTGCTGAAGTTGTAGATACTTGTCCCACCACTGTCAGATGTGGCAGCAGTCACACCCCAAGCCTAAATCCTATCACAACCCCACATTAGTCTCAAGGATGCAAGAAGGTTGGGAGTAAGAAAGGAGTGGGGAGGAGTCCATTTTAGCTTTCACTTCTCCATTGGTCTAACAACCCCATAAGGGCAGCAAGCAGTATCTGATCCATGGCCCAGCTAGTCCTGCATCCTATTCTGTACAGTGGGCAAGGAGATGCCCCGAAGATCCACAAGCAGGGCAGGGGATGCAGGACCACCCCCAGTTGTTGACTTCCCCCCCACAAGCACTGGTATTCAGAGGCATATTGCCACTGACCACAGAAGTACCATTTACCAATCACACTTCACCCATATCGAAAATTCTTTAGCCTACATTTTTATCTATTCAATCATTGTTTCACATTTTGACTTAATGATGTTCACCTAGAGTACATTTCCTCATTACTCAGCTGTTAACTCACAAATGGCAGCCATTAGTGTAAAAATAAGTACAAATTTAGCCCAGTGTCGAACAGTGTAGAATACAACATTAAGGTCTGTGTCTTTTTATTGCTTGGAGTTCAAGAAAATAGGCCCAAATATATTTTCCAGTTCCATCGTGTTATTTTATAACTACCAGATTATGCTGGAAAGGCTCATATTTTGCAGGCAATTCCAGGGATTTTCCACTAACAGACACAGATATTTAAAGGATAAATTATTTTTTTAAAGGTAATTTGATTCTAGAGTTCTTAGTTATGTGGCCATGTCACTTCCGGTGAGCACAGGAAGTGATGTCATCAAACTGCAATGTCACAGTGACACTCTGGTATTTGAGCAAAAACTCTATAGTAAAAATAGCATCTACCATTGAGTTTTATCCAAATAATAATTGACTGAATATCGCTAGTGTGCTGATGTCACTTTCTGTGTATGTCAGAAGTGACACTGCTGGCCATGTCACCTGGGCCTTCCTCTTTTTTCTGGTAAGTCACCCTGCTGGCCAGCTGATCAGCAGCAGAGGGTGGGTCCTGGCAGCAAAGGAAATGGCTACCCTACTTAGGAGCCATGTTTCAATACAACTTAACATTAATTTTACAGCCCCTAACAAGCAAGCAGATATTTTATCATGATGAAAATTAAAGCCAACGTAGGACTGAGAACAGACTGGTAGGTGTAAAAAGCCCTTTTCAAACATTACAGTCATGCATGCAGAGGGCCTACCAACC